TAGAGGTCCTCCGGCCGCTGGTACTGGTGGTAAATGCACTCGAAAAGGTGCGTGAAGGCATAGAATTCCCTCAGATATTTTATAGAAAAGTATACAACATTCCTGGAGATAACGATTTATGTACAATGCTAAATTTCAATATGGGGTGCACAATGACGCCCACATTCCTTTTTGTATCTGTTTGATTAATAGAACAATCTTGAAAATCTACCTTACTATTATGTCTTAAAGTTGGTGGTCCATAGAAAGTAAAAAAATCGGTCCATCATACCTAAAAAGTTAAGAAACCACAAGTAGCTAAGGAGCGATCTTAGAATGTAACGAAGGAGGTTTCTACTTTGTTGTACATTAGATCTTATAATATTAAAATTAACTATGTTTCGTATGGTGAGTGTAGAGAACCGGAAACCCTTTTTACTGGAATCATTTATTGATTCCAGTAAAAAGTCGCTCACAACAGATAATTTTTTTTATAGAATAAGGGTGACAAACGAACACACAGTCCACCTGATGGTAAGTGGATGCTGTGGCCCAAAGACATCTACATTTATCCTCGAGTATTACTCGAGAATTCTGCCTCGTTTCTAGTAAAAAAGGGTCTCTGGATCTCTACACTCACCATACGAAACACAGCAGCATTAAGCTGCTATTTTATGCTGGTATTCTATGAGAGCGTGGTCCTTCCCCGGTTGAGCCGACCTATTTGTGCTAAAACCGTAATATAGCTGCAGCGTTTTTAATTTATCAAACATTTATTAATTTGAAAAATTTCAACTGACTCTATAGAAAAACTGAGACAAAAAAGCATAAAACTTGTGAATTGACATCCGAAACAAATTGATTATGACTTCAACGATTTGCGGTATGGTATACTTTCATCATTCGTCATCAATACAGCCCTTCACAAGACCACTGCTGAATATAGGCCTCCTCAAAAGAATGCCACAAAGCACCTGCATCTATCCATTATACCTACATGTTCCGTTATTTGTTCTTTATTTCTTTCTTCTTTCTTTATTGCCAGGTCGTCACTCTATCTCGTGGTGGCCGCTCTACACTTCTCCTACCGCTGCGAGGCTGTCACTTGAGAACTTTGCTTCCCCATCGATTGTCGGCTCTTCAAGCTATATGGCCGGCCCGTTGCCACTTCAGCTTACTAATCCGTATCCGGGATATCCTCATATCTAAGTTTATCACTGCATAGCCCTCTTAATAGCTCGCTGAGCGACCTTGAGCTTCCTGTGCCGGACCACTTCTCAGATCCATAAGTCAACACTGGCAACACGCACTTAGTGTACAATATCGTTTTCCATTTTTGAGGTATACCGGACTAAAAGATGTGGCGTTACCTCCCGAACGCTACCCAGGCAAATTGAATCCGTGAATTGACATCTCGGTCGAAGCTGGACTTACCAAGTCGGACTATGGATAACACCAAAAATAAACTCGTATTGGCAGAATTTTTGACTATGAGGAAAAAATAAGGTGTACCTAATAGGAGAACGAAAGGAAATGCCATTAAATCGAATAATTGCTATTTTTACATTAAGACGACACTTCGAAAAGGCTATCGCCGTACTGATCCGAGTGAATACATAATTTCTATAAAAACTTGAAAAAACGCCGTCATAAGGTCTAAAATAGCGTAGCGCCCGCGACGATTAAAAGCGCTTAGAAATTGTAAGAATCTTAAAATATATTTTTTAAAAAATTATTGATTTAAGTAACCAAAATAATGAGCAAGTAAACTATGAATATTGATGTTATGAATATATTTGAGTGATTCCTAAGCATATAGATTAAGTAATTTCGTTATAATTTCAACTATAGTGATTTTTAGAGGTGTTTTCGCAAATAATTATGATCGAGTCAAAATTATACAATCGTGTTTTTTAACAATCAAATTCAAGATAAAGACATGAATTTACCTATATCAAAATTCCACTTTCGTTAGTGGTGTCATAGTCCTATACTATTCGATGAAAGGAGATGCATTTTTTTCACGGTGTCGCCTTAAAAAGTGGTTTTAGTGGCTCATACTGTAGATTTATCAAGTCCGCATGGAGGGGTAAACAGAATAACTTATGAAAATATCAATTGTTCAACTCAATCTATTTTTTAATCTCTTCATCTATCATGTGGGAAGCCATGGAAGGTAAATGGCTTTTTAATTTTGTTTTGTTTAGTTATAATTATTTTTTCTGCAGAGAAATTCCAAAATTTTCGGTGTTTGAGCAGCCTCGTAATAATATATTTTACTAAATACAGATGCACTAACTCACTCTGGGCTCGGCCGCCGTTGTGAGTGGGTTAATCGTTTGTTTACAGCGGCTCGTGATAAAAAATATCGATCGCTGTAGAAATACAAAATATTCCAAAAAACCACATTCAATACATATTTGACTAAGGCAAAATATTATTATTATGTATATAATCACAAATTTTCATTACAATATATTGTTTCGTTAAAAGTACGTAGGATTTATATATAAATATACTTATACGTCTTGGAATTTATGCAGTGACCCGAAGGTGTACTTCGGTATCTGCCACTGGAACTCTTCGAAGAGTAAAACTAGGTGTGCCGAGTTCGGCTTAGTTTTGTTAGTTGTGATGAAATCTTACCTCCAGACTTAATAGAGTGACCTGCATGTGTACTTTGGTTAATTAATGCTAAATTAAAATACTGGTTATGACTGATGCTTTTCGGAAACGAACTAAAGTATGTAAAAAAAATTAATTAACGAGTCAGGTAAAAAAGACCAGTTTTACGTTTTTTATAATGGTAATTAACTTTAATATTACTCTAATTTTAAGGTACAAATACCTTAAAATTAGAGTAATATTAAAGTTGATTTCTGATCGTTTTAACATAATTCTGTTGAAAGTCTTTTCAAATAACAATAATAAAACAATGAATCTCAATAATAATAGCATGGTAAAATTCAAAAAAATATTTTCTATTGTTGATTGAGAATTTTTTTCACGATCATAATATGAGCATTAGGTATGAGTCGTGCACTTTTCGATATTCCAAACTTTTTTATTGACGTTTGACATAAAATTATTGGAAAATTTGAAGTAATAGTAATAAGGTTATTTGTGAAAATGTGTTTGTGTAATTGTTTGAAGAGTCAAGAGTAGAAAATAGGGGAAATAGTTTTAAATTGGACTATTTTTTAAGAAATTTCATATGACATCTTTGCTGATAAAAAAACATACGTGCAGCTTACACGCGACAGAAGTGAAACTTTCAAATGAAATGAAATATGAAATACAAATACTTTACGGCAAATGATTTATTAAATATTACAATTTTAACTAAAAGTTCGGCATAAAATATAAGAAAATTTAATTTTATAGTAAATGAATGTAACCTTATGTACAGGATGTTAGTGTAAACACCGTTATCCTTGAAACCAGTGGTTTGGTTTCACTTATAGAACGTAAGTTCAATGAAAAATAACAACATTTTTTTTAGTTAAATCTAATTTTTCTTTAATTCCTTCCAAATTTCAAATTTGCCTGTCCTAAACGGATGAAAGTATGAAGGAAAAGTTACATCACAGGTTATGTGTACCTATTGTGTTTTATTGGAATGTTGTGTAGGTAGCTAGGGCCGGCGGTGAACTTTACAGTGATTAGGTCACTCGGGCGCATAGGGTATCCATTAATTTACGGACGGTGTCAGATAAAAACTTTTTAAACTTTATGAAAGAAAATAGCGTTTTTTTAATTCGGATAAATATTTTTACATTAAAGCCTAACTAACTACGGTTTTAGTGAGAACGGTGTTTACACTTACACCTTGTATAGTGCTCACTAATTACAAAAAGATTTATATCAATTTTACCTATTACGAAGTTGAGGCTTGGCCGTTCTTCACTGCTTGTTTATTCCATAGGCAGACGATACCTACGTACCTTATTGAACAAAACGCGTAAGCGACCACGTTTCGGCAGCGTTTAGTACTTTTTTCTCACGAGCATTGAGCTATAATGCTTCCTATCTCATTTTCTCCCACGTTAAATCTTATGAATTTATGTCTCTGTCTCTTTTTACTGTCACTTTTTCGTTTCATAGACTTTCAAATCACTAAGATGCTAAAAAAGTTTTTACTTTGAAACCGATTTTAATTATTCTTTTTTTCTTAAATAGGTTTACTTCAAGGATGGTCCCATATATATTTGAAGAAAAAATTCCACCCCTAACGGTTGCAAATAAACAACTTCTTTTAGCAATTTGAAATCGGTTTTCATTTATTGATGAAAGATAATAACTATTTATGGAATAGGTTATATTTTAAGCGTGGTCCTATAAAAATTAGGTAAAAAAATATCCGCAATTTTTCTAAAATTGGCTAAATAGGGGATAAAGTTTTTAATGTAATTATAAAAATATTTAGAAAACATTGAGATTGTGTTTCACATAAACAACTTAACTTAACTTAACTTTTGATACAAAATTAAAGTCGAAGATGCTAAGACATTAAACTGACGTTATCGTATAGAAGAGTTAAAGCCCCGACTTTAGAATGTGAAACCATTTAATTATAATTATTTAATAATTTTGTTTGAACTCGGCTGTTAGTTTTTTCCTAAATGATTATTAAGATCGAAGGATGCATTCAACGTGCTTTGCAAAGTATTTTATTGCGAAGTCTTGAGCAGAATGGCTTTTTGGAAAAAACACACGAATACAAGAAAACACAAAACAGACCATAATTATTTGCATATAAAATTAAGTACTATGAAATAATAATTTATAATAAAATGTGTTAAATTATATTGGGTATAAAACGGTTTTTTGCTAGTAGAATTAGGTAGATTTTTGGTGCTCAATTAAGTAGATTTGTGAAATAAGTTCCGGTCACACTAATTTTCAGTCATCTAGAAATGGGGCTGCTGTCAAGTTATCTGAAACTCAATTTTTTGGGTTTATTAAAGTTTTTAAACAGTATGAATTGGTTTATTATATTTTTTAGTTTAATTAACCTCTCAATGTGCATTTATGAAGATCAGATAGGCAAATTCGATTGGTAAATGTCTATTTTAGGTTATAATATTCATAAGTTTCTACACTTGTGTAAATAACTAAATTATTTCGTTTTCAGGCGTCAAACTTACGTTGGAAGAATAAAATTCGCTCAATTTGATACAGTTTCAACTGCCAAGAAGCTCATAGTAGCTACGGAGGAGAATGTATTAGCTGCCCTGCATTTGAAAACTGGTAAGTTAACTTAATTGATCGCGCCCGTTTAGCCCAGATTTATAATTTATATTACAGATATTTCTTATTTTCATAATTCAGTAATGATTATATAGATAACTAAAAATTGTTTTTATGATGATATATATTTGACATTGCCTACATGGATATGATTGGATAAAATATATAAAGGAGAGTGCCGATCTGGAGAAAGAGCGTTTAATTCATTTTCTCAGTGAATCTCACAAAATATGTTTTAGCTCTCAACATCACATGCACAATTGTTTAAGCTACCCATCCCTAGACCACATCTGTTGCTCCAACCAGGTGTCTAGATGAATGTTATGGGCCCAAAAGTAAAAAAGTCCATTTTCTTGGATTTTTTGAATCTGGATTTATCCTTGGCAATTTAAGAAGTTGAAAAATTTTCTTTAGATGTGTAAATAATTCTAGAATGAAATCAGGTCTTTACCTCAAGTATTTGTTTCATAAATATATATATGTTCGTGTTCAGATAAGCAACATAGTTTATATTCATGAATGATTGCTTATTTCTCAGCCTGTCTGTTTCTGTCTAGTTAATTATTCAGAATGGCTAAACCGATTGTATTGAAAATTTACAGAGGTAGAGAGTAAGATCAGGAGTGAACTAGGCTACATTTTATCATACAATCTTGGAAATTTTTTTTGAAAAATAGAATGGTTTTTGATGATTACCTTGTAAACCTTACCTTGTAAACAATTCAAATTGTTGTAAATTACTCTCAAAAGTTTCTGAAACATGTTACAGGTCATTGAGACTATATCTGTCACCAGTTTTAATAGCTTGCATTCAGTGGGTGATAATAGTTACAATTGTTTTTATTAAAAATTGATTTTTACCATCCCTTTACAACTACTACTCTGGAAATTATTAAATACTAATGAAAGTGAGTAAGCTTATGCAAGCAGGTGGAAAACTGGTACTTGAAGTCCTTCAGAGGCTCTTTAATTCCGTCCTCCATGGTAGCACTACTCGAGAGGCATGGAGCAGAAGTGCGGTGGTCTTGTTCTTCAAGAAAGGTGACAACGCCCTCTTAAAGAACTACAGACCGATATCCCTTCTGAGCTGCGTCTACGTACTGTTTTCGAGAGTCATTACGAATCGTATCGCACGCAGAGTCGACGACTTCCAGCCTCCCGAACAAGCCGGTTTCCGAAAAGGCTTTAGTACCATAGAGCACATACATACCCTTCGGCAAATTGTACAGAAGTTTGAAGAGTACAATCTGCCACTTTGCCTGGCGTATGTGGACTATGAGAAAGCCTTTGATTCCGTCGAAATTTGGGCGGTGCTACAGTCTCTTCAGCGGTGCCAAGTTGACTGTCGGTATATCGAAGTGCTGGAAGTGTTTATACAGTAGGGCTACGATGGCTATCCGAGTATAGAACCAGAGTACGAAACCTATCCAACTGCAGGGAGGTGTAAGACAGGGTGACATTATTTCCCCGAAACTCTTAACCGCTTCATTGGAAGACGTTTTCAAGTTACTGGACTGGCAAGGATATGGTATTAACATCAATGGCGAGTACATCACTCACCTTCAATGTGCCGACGATATAGTCCTTATGGCAGAATTACTGGAGGACTTAAGCACTATGCTCAATGACCTCAATAGTGCCTCCCAACGGATAGGTCTTAAGATGATGTCACACCTATGCCGGTAGTTGTTGGGAGCACTAAGCTCGAAGTTGTTGACGAGTATGTTTACCTGGGACAAATAGTCCGACTAGGTAAGTCCAATTTTGACCGAGAGGTCAATCGACGGATTCAACTCGGCTGGGCAACATTCGGGAAATTGTCACATCTTCTCGTCAGGTATACCTCAAAACCTGAAAACTAACTGACATATGGAATTGAGATGTGGTCCTTCACTGCTGGCCGTATGAGGACGCTCAAAGTCGCTCAGCGAGCTATGGAGAGGGCTATGCTCGGAGTTTCTCTGCATGATAAACTTAGAAATGAGGATATCCGCAGTAGAACCAAAGTGACTGACATAGGCCAATGGAAGTAAGCTGAAGTGGCAATGGTCAGGCCATATAGCTCGAAGAACCGACAACTGTTGGGTAAAAAATGTTTTCGAGTGGCAGCCTCATACCGGTAGACGAAGTGTAGGGCGAGCCCTCACTAGATGGGGTGACGACCTGGTAATACATGCAGGAAGTTGATGGATGCAGGTGGCTCAGGACCGTGCTTTGTGGCAAACCATGGGGAAGGCCTATGTTCAGCAGTAAACTTGTGAAGGGCTGTAATGATGATGATGATGAATGAAAGTGAAGGTTCAGTGAGGATTAGCTTCAATTTCATGACATTAATTCATCATTCTTTGACCAAATATTGTCCGAGCATTTATACATCTGCAGATTTTTTTAAAAGTTTTAAGTGGATAAAGTCACTTGTACAAACTAATTATAAATACAACTCAAAAGTCCACTGCTGAATAGGCCTTTCCCATTGGATTGTCACAATGTTCTATGCAAAATTTACTTTATGTTTTAAATTGGATCAGGTAAACTGAAGTTTTGTAATATATAACAAAGTATATATTAAATAATGTTTGTATAAATCTGTAAGTTTGTAAAAAAGAATTTATATTTTTAATTTTAACTTTGAATAACTTTTAAGTTAAAATTGTGGTATTTTTCTTTCTAGGGCAGGTTGTGTGGCGGCATGTGTTCGAAAGTGCCTCAACAGGCAATATACAACTATTGCATGTCAGTGACAAAATTGTTACAGTCTCTGGGTCTAATCCTTACCTTGTGAGGGGTTGGGATTCTGGTACCGGTAAGCTTTTTGTTATAATAAAATTTTGCTCATTTAACTAAATTAGCTGCCTGCCTTTTTTATAGGATAGGGTGAGAAATGAGCACATAGTTCACCTGATGGTAAGTGGTTCCTGTGGCCAATAGATAGCTACATCTATCCTCAATTATGAATTAAAATGCAGATGCTTTGTCACTTGTAAGGGCTAAGATGGAATGCCTCATTTCCAGTAAAAAGGGTCTCTGGTTCACCATATGAAACACAGCAGCATTAAGCTATTATTTTACGCTGGTATTTTGTGAGAGTTTGGTCCTTCTCGGGTCGAGCCGGCCCACTCGTGCTACAATTATACTACTAATATAACTGCAGCATGGCTCTACTACATATATCTTTTCATATCTTTTCATTTCATCTTAACATATGTAATTTGTCAAGGTATATAACATAATAATAAAAATGTAAGATACATTTTTATTTACAACCGGCTAGCTTTTTAATGTTGCTGATTAAAGGTACTGTGATGTAAGGTATTGTGATTACCAATCTCCCAGCCAAGTATGGTATTTAGAAGAAAGTCTACTTACTATGACTAGGACATTTTACTGACTGATTAGGAGGATTAAGAGTAGATTATCTTTAAATGTATCACATTGAGAAAGTATTCTCATAATTATATCTGTAAATCTTTAAATATTTTTAATCACTTTGATTAATAATTATTTTTCACTTACCAGGAGTACTTTTATGGGAATGGTCATTAACACTTCAAGATAATGACAATGCTGACTTCTCCGAGTGGTGGGTGCAACAGGGGTTATTGGTACACATGTTACCTGCTTTCAACTCCCATATAGAAGTAACTATGTACAATTTGTTAACGGGACACAACCGTGGTGCAACATCTAAGCTACCAGCTCCTTGGATCAATGAAGGGTGAGTCAATATTTATTTATTTATTATTATTATGGTTTGGAGTATCTATATAGTTTTCTCATCTGGTTGGGTTTTATAAATATATAATTAAAATCCCAACCAGATGGAAGCCCTCAGCAGGAGAAATCAAACGGCCGAGGGTTAGGGGGAAAGGGAAAGGAACCGGCGGACGATGCTGGCGGTATCGAGGGGCACCGCTTCTGCATTTGAGCCCAGAGCGGTCCGTCACGGAGTTCCAGTCGCCTCAGATGACCCGAGAGGCTGACTGGGATTAGCCCATTCGCAGAGACGACTACAGGAATATTTTCGGTTGGCACACCACCCCACATGTCGGTCACCTTGTGAGCCAGGTCCAGATATTTTGTTTGTTTATCTGATTCGGCTTTCACTAGGTTCTCGTCATACGGAATGATAATGTCGACCAAAAATATCCTTGACTGTGTCCGGTCCATCAGCACAATATCAGGCTTATTCGCAAGAATAGTCCTGTCTGTGATGATGGCCCCGTCCCAGTAGAGCCTGGCGCGGTCATTTTCGAGCACGGCTTCCGGCAAGTACTTGTAATACGGCAATTTCCGGTCCACGAGACCGTATTTCAGAGCGAGCTCCTGGTGTAGAATTCTGGCTACTAGGTTGTGCCTGTGCAAGTACTCAGAGTTAGAAAGCGCCGAACAACCGGAGATGACATGCCTAAGTGACTCCCCGGGATGGCGACAAGCTCGACAGACGTCGACAGTGCCATCCTTTAGGATGTATCTCCGATAGTTGTTGGTCTTAATAACCTGATCCTGTATTGCACAGACAAAACCCTCGGTTTCCCCGAAGAGGTCACCGAAACGTAGCCAGTTGAGGGAGGCGGCTGTATCTACATGAGGCTCATGTAGAGCCCTGTAGTACTTCCCATGGAGCTCGTTCTCCTTCCATACGGTCTCCTGGTCGGAAATGCTCTGTACTGCCGGGTCTTGCCATTGCTCTTTGGCTAAGGATAGAGGGGTAAGTCCTTTATCACTAGAAATGACGTCATTATAGAATGGATCATCCGATCTCGCCAGAAAGTAATGACGGAGGCTGCACACTTCGCGATTATGCATGGTGAGCGCGCTCAGGAAGCCACGCCCACCATGCCTTCGCGGCAAGTACAGCCTCATTACCGACGATCTCGGATGATGCATCCTATGGGACGTTATTGTAGTGCGGACTTTTCTATCCAGGGCGTTAAGTTCAGTCTGACTCCACCTGAGTATGCCAAAGGTATACATGAGGACAGGCATGACCCAACCGTTATATGCATGTGTCTTATTCACACCGGACAAAAGGCTGTTAAGCACTTTGGTCAAGCGTGCATAAAACATGTGGCAAACCAGCCAGCCTCATCGATACCGATGTTCTGTGACATACCCAGGTATCGGTATGTTTCAGCCTCGGAAAGGACCCTTAAGTTGACGGGCATAGATAAGTCTATGCCCTCAGAGTTAGCAACCCTTCCCCTTTCAACATGGAGGACCGCACACTTATCCGTCCCCAGCTCCATTCCAATAGAATTGCTAAATTCACAAGTGATGTTTAGCAATTCCATAAGATGGGAGCGACTGGAGGCGAATAATTTGAGGTCATCCATATAGAAAAGGTGGGTCACTTTTGTACCTCCCTTCCGAAGCTGAAATCCCCTCCCGGAGCCCTCCAGTAAAGTACTGAGAAGGTTCAAAGAGAGACAGAACCAGATTGGACTCAGACAGTCGCCCTGGAATATACACCTTCTTATCCTTATGCGGCTTTCCGCAGCCTTCATCCGCTCGCCCAGATGACAGAGGATCGTACTCCACTGCCCCATACATTGCCCGAGGAAGTCTTGAACTGTACAGTCAATCTTGTACAGCTCGAGGACCCTCTTTAGCCATGTATGGGGCACCGAGTCAAATGCCTTTCTGTAATCTATCCAAGCGGCGGAGAAGTTCCGACTGTTGCGTTTCACCACTTTGCCAATGACCGCGTCAATGAGGAGTGGTTCCTTGGTTCCACGACCGCCGCCCCGACATCCATTTTGAGCGCGCGACATCACCTGATTTGAGTCCAGGTGACGAGCGATTCTCGCGCTCAATATGGATGTTAGTGTTGTATATAGTCGGTAGACACGTGATGAGGTGGTATTTGCTCGGGTCTGTGGCACCCTGATCTTTAGGAACCAAATGAGTGATCCCAGTAGTGAAGAGGCTTGGGAGCGACTTCTGGTTGAGAGCCTCTTGAAACTGTCGGGCGAGCACAGCGTGACACACCATGAACCCCTTCAGCCAGTAGTAATGCAGCCCGTCAAGCCCCGGACTTTTCCAGTTCGGGGCCCTACGGACCGCCTCAGCTACGTCATACCCGCACACTGACTCGCCACAACTTCCGTCCAAGGGCCCTCGTTGTGGTTTACGGGCTCTGACCGCAGGCTGCGCCAGAATGCGACCGTGTCGGCCTGATTTGGTGCTGGGCCCGTTCCACTTACTATTGGTCGCTCCAATGATTTGTAGAGCCTCTTCTGATCACTCTGGAAGAGACGATTCTGGTTGAACCGTGTCGACCTCTCGGTATATCGCCTAATCCGCTTTCCCCAAGCAGCGATTCTTTGCTTCAGGTCGTCTATGCGCTCCGTCAGTTTTTGCGTTATATCCGGCTGGGACAAACTAACATTTGTCCCAGCAAACGCCATCCTGACGGTGCGCACAATCCTTGGCCTGGCAATACCTGACCTGAAGCATATCAGTCTGCCGATGAGGGCCCTAGCCCTTGCGATACGTTCTTCAATTCTTATTCTCCAGGCTGGGAAAGCACTACTTTGTCCAGTAGCGCGTCCAGCCGTGGAAAGTTTGGCGCCTATAATACGGCAGACTGCCAGTGCGGCGCCAAAAAGAATTGAATCCGTCTCGCAAAGGTCCCGGCTGGCTTCCAAGTAGGTAACCAGCATAGGGTTCAGAGCCCTCATGACAGCCCGATTCCGCTTGCTTAGGGCTAAGCGGGGGAAGTCGCGGTCGATTTTCGAGAGGCGTACTGTGCGTTTCCACAATCGCCTCCTCCAATGTACTCCTCATTTGCTCTAGTTCCTGTTCCTGGGCGACTGTTCCGTCATCGTTTGAATCAACCACAACTGGCGTATTCACGGCGGTATCCACATTTGCCGTTTGCTCAGCAAGTTGTGGCGCCGCATCCTTAGCCGCAGCATTTTCACCCGATGAACGAACAGCCTCACGTCGTAGCCGTTCGAGTTCGGTGACATCAAATGTATTTGAGCGCATGATATACCGAACTCGGTCTGCCAGGTTTTGCTCGGTGACGGTTACAGATAGCTCCAGCTCAGCAAAAAGTCGATGCATCCTTGCCCGATACGCAAAACCTCCAGTTTCTCCCCCTTTCGCCCTAAAATACGCCCGCAATGCGTTGCTGTTCATCTGGGTTGTCCAACGCATGCGGCGTACTCCACCAGTGGCGGGTGCCGATTGCTGGGCTGCGAAGACCCTGCCGACACCAAACCAGCTGGTGGGGATGATGGATGCGAGGGGCTGCTGGGTGGTCGTGCAGCACCTCGCGCTCGGCTGGCGGTTCGCATGCTGTCGCGTCCAACGCCAGCTCCAGACGCGCCCTGGCGACCTCCAGGCAGCGGCCCTTTGCGTGATCCATAGTGGTGGGCGTCATTTAGCGGGAGACGCCCAGACCCGGCGCCGTTTCATGGTGAGGCCATGTGCACAAGCGAGCCTTTGCACCTTCAATTTTTGCTGAGGCACGGCACTAACACCTCTCGGCAAGGTGCTGACTGACTGCGCTGACGTACCGGTTTTGTCACATAACCATTACGTCAGCGGGCGATGGGGTCGTCACTTCCCTACGCCTATATATATTTATATTATTATTATTATTTTATTTACTATTTTCCGGAACTTCACATCTACCCGCGTATTTGCGTGTGGGTAGAATATTTTGATTCTTCGAGCCATGAAATCTCTTCAAAGTAGTTCAGCAGTCCTTTGATGTTGCAAGCAACGTTCGGCAGTGATTTTGTTACAATAATTTGTTTGTATGATTCCAGATGTGTTCTAACACCACCATTTTACAGTTGCATATCTGGCAATGTGGGTGCTCAACGCTTACTATCAGTAGATGTCACATCTAATGCTGTACAGATCATTAGTAAACCATTGTTTGACTACATAAGTTTAGACATATTTGAAGGCAATCTAAGGCCACTAGATGCGAATAGTGCTGTACCAGGGTTCATTATTGACGATAAGAAGATTGTATTGATCAAGAACAATGACTTTGAACTGCTCAGTGTAAATGTTGCTGATGAATCTGCTAGCGCTTCTATAATTGATGGCTCTAATGGAGCATTGTTGTTGCAAGCTTGGACTGATAAGATATTGGTAGGTTTACTTTTTATATTTGTAAAACTTTTGATTGCCGTGTGGTGTCTATGTAAAGATATCCACTACTCTACACCCGTGGGTTTCGTAAGATGCAACACAGAGAAACTAAAACACACAGAAGCATCTTCCTAATATCAATTCAAAACAATAAAAGCTGTGATTGCCAACCATGTGTAGTAGGGGCTGCGATGACAACAAAAAACCGTGTACAAAGACCGTTTTGTGTCCAGCGACGATAAAACCGTTTTACGTCCAGGGTTCAAACAGTCTTCGTTGCACAAACCAATCTTTGAATCACTTGGTGCAATTATTTATTTTATGCCTATGAAAATACAGTCGAGAATGCAATGATTCAACTATTTATCTCATTCGTCGCGTCGTCGATCATTATCGTTCTTCATTATATTGTAGTCTTTGGTTCTAAATTCGTTTACAAACGTATCATAGACTAAACAGCCTACAGTAAAAAATTAACTTTTTGTCAATAAAATACAATCGCTAATGTTAATGGTAATGCTAAGTCTGCCCAGCCAGTCTTAAGCCTGGAAAAGCAAGAAGGGAAGTTCATTTCATCATTAAGTAAAGTCGATCGATAAAACGAATTATTTAGTAAACCATTTCATACATTTCAAATTGTTTAAAGTTGTAAGAAACTGCAACGATTAGATTTCACTCGACCAAAAACGCAATTCTATTCCATATTGGATAAGTTACGTCCTTTAATCAGTCTTTTCGTCTGTTTTCGTCGTCGGGAAAACGGTTCCGTTTCGTTCGTAAAAATTCTACGACCCACCACTAAAGTGTAGTAACTATAGCAAAATCTTCACTATGAGGTAATCTTTAGGAGATGCCTATGTTCAGCAGTAGACTGTTAAAGGCTGTTGTCGATGGATGAATGGATGGATAGTGTGGTCACAATCTAACTATTACTAACAGTCAGTCGTCGAAGGCGAGACGGGGCTATCGTGCGGGGCGAGAGTGCTCCTGAGCGGCTATTAGTCGCTTGGGAGTTGCTCGCTAGGGTTGTTCTGTCACGCAAGTAAATTAAAATGGTTCACACTACATGTGCGGTAAAAACCTGTATATTATTTCTGAACATTAATTGCCTGATTAAGTCATTTAATTTGTTTTATTCTTTTATTACCTCTTGTTCGGGCAACCCTAGCAATTTATTATTTGTGTCGGCTTTTCTGACAACATTAAACGCGATGACTGACTGTATGTTTTTTTAGTCTGTGGTGTGGTGGTGGCGTAAATCCATCTCTTATGCTGCTCTCATCCATCTTTTGCAGTATTGATCTTTAGATCCTGAGTAATGTTGTAATAATCACGATTTCCATATAGTATTACAGATTGGAAAATAATAGTTTTTTTTTCATACGAGTGTAAAGACGAAAATGTCCAATTTAGGCACATAAGATTTGAAGTAACTGAGGATTCAGGGAGAAATTATTAAATCATAATCCTCAGTGTTTAAAAAATGTTTTATTAAAAACATCTGTGTAGCCGGGCTTAAGAATATCCAGTTCCCATATTGTCCCGTGGGCATCGTAATAAGCGACAGAGGGAAATTAAAACAGGAGATTGGCAACAGCAACTTCTGTTTCTATATATAAAAAAAACTGTTTTTGCCAAGTTTGCTTTCTCCAAACTCAGGCAAGAAGCTGTGATGAAGTCTTCTTTCATGTACTTGTTGATAAAAGAAAGAACAATAGGCTGTGTGTTGTTAGGCCCAGCATCTCGCTTCTGGACCCGTGTTACGTAATTAATATCACTACAATACAGGATAATTTATCACAGATCCTCGTTTAGTTACAATGTCAAACAGATTCTCCCCATGTTTAAATGCTACTCCATAGATTTCGACGTTATTTGACCGAAGCCACTTCTTTTTCAGATCAGATCTTTTTCATTAATTTCCGCTTCCTTCTTATTTATCTGTGCCTTTAGAGACGCTACTTTTTGTTCAGCATTTTCGACTACTTGAAGTCTGTTTTCAAAGCTTTTTAATAATATATAAAAGTTTTTAAATAAATAAATCGATGGCCAAGCGTGAAAATATTGCAAAAATCACTGTGATTATTAAAGCAATCTATTGAGGAGGCCTATTGCACCAGTGAACTTTCATAGGCTGTATTGGATGTATGGAAAAATAATTCTAATTTACTTACATCTATAAGAAAAGAATATAGGTAATATTGAAATTTATTTGTACTTGTTTTTACAGGGCTTCTCTCTCATAGCACACAATGTAAATTCAGGCCAAGAAGTATCAGAGTTAAAGTGTTCGGACCGTAACCTTCGTATCCCAGAGGCAGAAATAGCGGCAGTTATGTGCACAAGGACGGCTAAAGAGCATCATGCTTGTAGGATTTTGGTCAACGGAGCAGATGACGCAATTCACCTCATGCAGCAAGGAGGTATGTTTTTTTTAACCAAGTTCAAAAAACGACAAGGTTCTACATTTGAAGCGTATCTGTTTTTAAATGTATATTCAACTATTTGTTTTTTTATTCCTGCACTTTCATAATAAATACGACCGGACGGCATTTGACACGACTGTAATCAAGCGCACAACCAATGGCTTCAAGTCCTTTCCGATGCACGGGGGTGAAACTCCGCCAACTTTCTGACTTTGGGCTGGTACTGAGAATTTGTTGACAGAAAAACCTAATTATCGGTCTTGTCCTGACCCGGGATTCGTATTCAGTACCTCATAATCAGCAACCGCGCTTATGGTCATTATACCAACGAGGCAGTGAAATGAAATGAAATGAATGATTTTATTCAACATAGATTATTATATAATACTTATTGAAAGTCATTTTTTTAATTTACCACTGGTTCGCAAAAAAACCTCTGTCCTGGGAAGAACCAGCAAGAAACCCAGCGGGATTTTTTTTAAACATATTTAAATTTACAACAAATTTAAACTGTTACAATTTTTACCCGACTGCCAAGGAACTGAAATGAATGAACTTACTGGTAACGAAATGAAATGAATGATTTTATTCAATATAGATAATTGTATAATGCTTATTGAAAGTCATTTTTTTTATTTACCATTGGTTCGCAAAAAAAACCTCTGTCCTGGGAAGAACCAGCAAGAAACCCAGCGGGATTTTTTTAAACATATTTAAATTCACAACAAATTTATTTTTTTACAATTTTTACTCGACTGCCAAGGAACTGAAATGAATGAACTTACTGGTAACAAAATGAAATGAATGATTTTATTCAATATAGATTATTGTATAATGCTTATTGAAAGTCATTTTTTTATTTACCATTGGTTCACAAAAAAACCTCTGTCCTGGGAAGAACCAGCAAGAAACTCAGCAGGACTTTTTTTTAAACATATTTCAATTTACAATTAATTTATTTTGTACTATTTTTTCATGAATTCGGACATAACCAACATGGTGGCGATCACATCATTCCCAGGGGTTATTTTCATTTATGTATTCATTTATATTATAATGACCTTTTTTTCTATCTATCAATCTACACACATACACCCATAGGTTTATTTATTTTAATCAAATCTGCAGGTCGAGTGCTCTGGACACGTGAAGAAGCCCTCGCCAATGTAGTAGCAGCTGAGTTCGTAGATCTACCAGTGTCCGAAACCGAAGCGACGATTGAGTCTGAGTTCGATCAGAAAGAAGGTAATTAGAAACAACGAAGAATAATATATAAGTAAAGTTGTGCAAGCAGCAGTGCATGCACTGCGGGCTCTGGTCCGAAAGGTATTGAGAGCCTGTATAATTCTAAGCTGTAACATGCCATCTTAGTTCTCTGAGGTGATACGCACCTGTTGACTTCTTTGTATGAAATTGATTGTGGGCTTCCATGGGCAGCAGTAGCCACTTGTCCCATCCATTCCACCATCAGGTGGAATGTAAGTTCGTGTATCACTTTAATTTTGTAAAATAAAAGCTACAAAAATAAGACCATTTCGTGCCACTGCGCCTAAAGTTTGGTGAAGCGTTTTGCCAATTTGCCTATGACAACTTGACTGTGTAGCGTATCTGTATAGGATATCCACTACCTGTATTATAAGAGTCGATAGAAGGCAACAAACCAGGAGATGGCAGCAGCGTTTACCTAATTACATCTGTAACACAAAAAATGCGGTTGCAAACTATGGCAAATATCCCCCTGTGAGGTCACCTATAGTGGGACCTATGTTTAGCGGTAAACTTTTGATGGGCTGTAACGGACACGTGATGACTGATAATACCAATAAATAATTTTTAATTATGAGATCAGTCAAATATTCCTTGTTGAATTTGAAAACTGATAATAATTAGATTATAAAGTTCTTTTTTTTTATTTCAAACTATATACTTTTATTAATGTAATTCTTTGCCTTTTTATTATGGTTTAATTGTGCACTAAAGACACTGCTCTATGAAATGTATTATAACGTACAAAAAAAGTTTGCAGTATACACGGTGACTTAAAACCACGTTTGTATCACGCTCATGCGGGACTTTAACAAGTCGATTATTGTACGGTATGTTTTATTTAAGTCACGCCTAAAATTTATAATATTTTATAATTTAAAAATATTAAAACATTTATTGAAACATAATAATAAATACGGAACAATAGAACTTTAATTAGTAACATTTCAACTTTCAACAAACAATCAGTTGATCAAGAAATATAAAAAAAAAATACTTGACATAAAGTCAATTCAATTTTTTGTATATTTTTAGTTTGAACTGTATTTTTTAAAGTACATTAATTAAAAACACAATTATTACTACTATCATTTACCGTCACATTAAAATTGCAAAAAAAAACATTGTGATTTCCAGGTTTGATAAAATATTTACATATAAGCCAACATCTGGATGATACAAAACTTCTGTAAATCAAATCTCATTACACTTTTGGTCCTGTTTAATTAAATCTTTAGATTTGTTGTAATACTTGTACAGAGAGATCTCTGATGCCTTGTTTTCTCTGACACAATTTTTGTCTTTACAATATATATATATCATCATATCATATCATATAGACACTCACGCCTGTCACCCAGAGGGGTAGGCAGAGACTACGGACTTCCATTTGACACGATCCTGACATACCTCTTTCGCCTCCTTTACATCCATATATCTACGCATACATGCTCGTCGGTTAAGGGTACTTTTAACGTGGCCCATTTTCAAAATATCGCCAATTTGGTCGATAAACTTTTTTCTAGGGCGTCCCTTCCCAACTCTGCCGTTCACATCTGCCATATAAATTTGCTTTGTCACTCTTTCCTCATTCATTCTTTCTACGTGACCAAACCACCGAAGCATTCCTTTCTTAATCCTGGTCACAACATCATCTTGCATACCACATTTATCTCTTATCACGCAATTTCTCACCCTGTCATTCAGATTCAACCCTAACATACTCCTTAAAGACCGCATTTCTACAGCATTTATTCTACTTTCGTGGTTCTTCTGCCACACCCAGCTTTCACTACCATACATTAAAGTAGGGACTAACACAGCATTATGAATTACCATACGTGCCTTTTTTGATACATTCTGGTTCTTCACAATACAGTGTAGTGCCCCCATTCACTCTATTCCCTGCATTTACTCGTCGTTCTATATCCTTATCATATCTACCATCCCTGCTAAATACACATCCCAAATACACAAACTCATCCACTTGCTCAATTAACTCTCCTTCTATTCTTATTTCACATACCGTTTTGCTTTCCTCTCTTTCAAAAACCATCACTTTCGTCTTACTTGCGTTCACTTTAATTCCCCTTTCTTTTAATGCCCAGTTCATTAATGTAACCGTCATTTGCAACTCAGCCGCCGACGACGCAAATATGACTTGATCATCGGCATATAAAAGGCATTTGACGGTTAACTCGCCCATTCTTAACCCACATTCTTCATCTTTCAAAATTTGCAAACACCTGTCCATAAATAGGTTGAACAGCCAAGGGGAAGCCATACAGCCCTGTCTGACACCTTTTCGGATGCCAAACCAGTCCGAGTAGACCCCATTGATCCTGACACAAGCGCTAGAATCCCTATAAAGAGACCTCAATGCCTGTATCAAACCAGCGCTCAACCCATATGAGTTCAGTGTTTGCCATAACACATTCCTGTCCACTCTGTCATAAGCCTTTTCCAAGTCCATGAACGCACAAAAAACTTTCTGGTTTTTAGCCAAAAACTTCTCCGCAAACATGCGCATGGAAAAGACTTGGTCTGTACACCCCATACCCTTTCGAAAACCCGCTTGCACATCCCAAATTTTTCCATCAGTTTCTTTCATAACTCTTTCAATTAACACCTTAGCATACAGTTTACCCACAATACTAAGCAAGCTGATACCACGGTAGTTTTTGCAGTCCTGCTGTGACCCTTTTCCTTTATATATTGGTACTATAACTGCTTTACACCAGTCATCCGGTACCCGTTTTAATTCCCAACACAAATTAAACAAGGTGTACAGCAGGCCTGCCACCACTCCCTCTCCAGCCCTTAGCATCTCGGGTGATACTCTATCATATCCAGCTGCCTTACCTGCTTTCATGCTTTTCATTGCTTTCATTATTTCATCTACACTTATCTCCATACCCCTTTCCACTTCTTTCGGAATTTCTTGTTCATTTAATTCAGACGACTCTTCACTCATAAACACGCTTTCAAAGTATTCCTTCCATCTGTTTAAATTCGAAACTTCATCATTCAGAATACATCCATTCTCGTCTCTTATAGCATAAATTATAGGCTGTTTTGTATTTCCCCTGGCAGTTCTTACGAGTTTCCAGAACATTTTTATATTAGCCTGGAAATTATCAGATATCCTTCTATCATTCTTATCCGTTCTTTCTTTCTTTTTCCTTTCAATTACTTCTTTTACTCTCTTATTTAGACGTCTAAATTCTGCCTTTTTTCTTTCAATCTCATCATTCATACCACCAGAGTTACCAGCTTTGGTTGCTAGTAAATCTAACCATGCTTTCTTCTTTGATTCAACTTCCACCCGTACCTCATCATCCCACCACAACGTATTACTTTTCCTTTCATTTGTTCTCTTACTTACACCACATACTTCGGTGGCGGCATCCACCAAACCTTTCTTAATATTATCCCACACAGTATTCAAGTCTAAATCATTCATACACAACTCATTCAAACATCTAATATTTTCTCTCAGTCTACATTTATACTTCTCTTTCACATCTCATCTTTACTTCTCTATTCTTATACGCTGTAACCAGTGGTAGACACAGATGTCCGATGCCGCCAACCACTTATCCACCCCCCGAAACCCTGTTCACCCCTCTCTTCTTTCACACATACAAATCTATCATGCTTCTATCATCACCTCTTTCCCATGTATACAATGAATCTTCTATACAAAAAAAGTATCGCAAAAGTTCTTTTCCACATACTGGTTCACCATTCTCTTTATACTTTCATCACCAAACGTTCCCAATATCCTTTCATAACCAATCCACCCCAACCCTTCCAAAACCCAACATAATATTCATTTTCCTTACATTTTGTCAACACCATCCTTACCATGTCCCAAAACTGCTCTCGGATGTAAGTGGGCTTAGACATGTCTGGGGCGTACACCCCTAACAAGAACAGCTTCTTTAAGCCCACTTTCATTCGTATCCATAGCAGCCTCGGGCTTACACATTCATACTCTTTCACACATTGACCCATTCTTTCTGAAAGGATGAAACCGACTCCCTGGCATGCCCGTTCGGTCTCGTCTACACCAGACCAATACGCGGTATACGTGCCATGTGCAGTGGCATCCTTTCCCTTTCGTTTCGTCTCATTTACACATAACACATCTATTCCTCTGTCATTCATCATTTCGCATACTTCATCTATCTTATCATTCATTGCGCCACATACATTCAGCGTAGCCAGACGGGCTTCCGCAATCCACTTTTCGCCCCTCCGGGAGACAGAACGTGACGGGTGGCGAACCTCGTCGCCGTCGCTCTATATATATATATATATATATATATATATATATATATATATAAAGATAAAGTTACAGCCTATATACGTCCCACTGCTGCGCACAGGCCTCCCCCTCATTTATGAGAGGGTTTTAGGGCAAGGAAGTGTCCGCCGCGCTGCCCCAATGCGTGTTGGCGAACTTCACATATCTTCGAAATATTTTTTTTCTTATTTCTCAGACATGCAGGTTTCCTCACGATGTTTTCCTTCACCGCCGAGCACGTGGTAAATCAGCACTTAAAATTGCAATTAACAATTTCATTGGTGCCGGTGGGGATCGAACCCGTTTGCGTACTGTGAAATTTACAGCGAGCGCTAACCATCTGAGCTACCACGGCTCCGTATATCCGGCTAGGTGTATATATATATATATATATATATATATATATATATATATATATATATACCTAGTCAGGTCATAAATTCTGTCACATGTTTAATATAAAATAATTGAAACAAGTTTATTCATTATGTAACCATTTATATACCAAAATGAACTTAACAAAACATAGATTCTTATGACACTAAAGTTTATTCAAAATTACCTCCGTGATTTTGAATACAGGCCTTCAATCTGCGCGGCCAGTCGTCTATCGCAGCACGAACGAGGTCCATATCAATATCGGCGGCTGCCTTAATTAAGGATGTCTTGA